ATAATTTGGTCACTCAATCCACAACTGTTTGTGGGACTCTGCCTTGCACAATTGGCTGCTGTGTTTCGCCCACATATACATTCACTTCACAGTATATTCTGTGAAGCACTTTGAGATATCTCGAAGTTGTGAAAAGCGCTGTATCAAATGCATGGATTATTATTATTATTAACACATGTGTATATTTATATATATCTGTTTGTTTACATATCAGTCTATCAACAATATCTTGCACTTGCTATGTACAGCACCTTTCACATAAAAAAAATGACTCAACGTGCTTTATAGAGGTAGAGTGGGAGCCTGAACATAGTGGGATATGGGGATAGGATTTGAGCAATGCTGTTCAATCCTCAAATAGAAAGGTTTTTATTGGTAGTGCAACTGGCAATAATTGTTAAGAGTTTGGAGTTCAGTGCATTCTGTTCAGGTCTATAAGAACTGCCAACATTTTGGAAAAAAGAAATGGATATATCACCAGAACCAGAAAAAAGGAAAATATTACAATTCGACTTTTTTATATTAAAAAAATGTTCTTGTGGTATTTTAGCCAAATTTTAGAAATATTTTAGCCAAATCTCTGATATGGATATTTTTAACAAATTTTGGATTTATTGCTGATAAACGTCCCCTGCCTTATTGTACTATACTTATTAAAATAATAATAATAATCCTTGCATTTGATATAGTGCCTTATAACGTCTTTGAGATGTTTCACAGCGCTTCACAGATTATACTGTAAAGTGAATTGACTATATGTTTTGTGGGAGAAATGCGGCAGCCAATTGCACATATCAGTGTCCCTCAAACAGTTGTCGATTGAAGTGACCAATTTATTATTATTTTTTTTAAGGAATTATTACCCCGGAAAAGCGATCCACCAATAGACTAACAACCGGGTTCCTACTTACTGCTAAGGAAACTTGCCCAACACACAAGACTCCAATGATGACTAATCACATAAAATCCTGCCTGTTGCCAGGAGAATGTATTCCACCAAGCAGAAGCAGACATCTACAAGAATATTCGTTTGTAAATATGTATAATAATAATAATAATCCTTGCATTTGATATAGCGCTTTTCACATCTTCTAGATGTCTCAAAGCACTTCACAGAATATACTGTAAAGTAAATTGACTGTATATTTGTGGGCGAAATGCAGCAGCGAATTAGGCATTGCAGTATCCCACAAACATTCGTGGATTGAAGTGACCAATTTTATTATTGTTTATTTTTTCTTGAGGGATTATTATCAGGCGTGTGAAGTAAGGTTTCGCCCTGCTGGGAATCGAACCCAGGTTTCTCGCTTGCGAGGCAAGTGCTCTAACCACTGAGTGATAGGACTCCAGAATGTCTACAGTACTACATACATTGTATGTATTCTATTCACTAATCATAAGGCTTAAATATCCAACCCCTCGAGCCTTTAAGTAACAGGCATGAGTACTGAGATTAGGACATTCCTGCAAACTTATGAAGCCATCATAAGGTTCAGTTTATTTCAAAGTCTTTGCATAGGCAGGCCAGAAACAAGGAGAACTGGATGAACAACCTGACTGAGGTACAGATGTTGTTTCCTGCTATGGTTTTCCACACAGGGAGTTCCCACCGTCAGACACAACCCCTGGGTCAAGAACTGAGTGGTGGCAAGGTGTTTCCCTTGAGGAGAGGATGAAAAAACAGAGCAGCCAACAAACCATGTTGATGCTATTCCCAAGTATGTCAGCTTGACTCAGGTGGTAGCACTCTTGCTCCGTGTGCAAATCGGCTGCTGCATTTCCCTACAAAATACACAGTAAATCCCCAAAAATGCTTTGAGCTGTCTTGTTGATGTGATAAGCAGCTATTTCAAAGGATTGTTAGTTTGCACAACACCAATATATGAGATCTGGATAGCACATAATTTGCAAACTGAGGAACATAAGGAGTAAAATCTTCAAGATCAGTCAATAACATGTGGAATACACGGTAACTAATAGAGTAAACACTAACAAATGAGGCATTCAAAGGGAACTGGATTCATTCCTGATTTAAGATCTGATGCAGGCTTTGGATTTGAGGATCAAAAAAGATGAAAAGGTCAAATTAGCTGCTACGTTTGCCTACACAATATACTGTCCATACACTTTAAAGTAATTGCTCGCAGCACTTTGAGATGCCTTCCTGATGTGAAAGCAGTTAAAACAAATGTAAAGTTTTTCTTATCTCTCAATTAAATTGTTAACAAATAGTTACCTAATTCCCTCTTGAATTTGCTGATACAATCCGCCGTACATTGTGTAACGTAATTGAATTTGAGATAACTATTCACCTTCCTTCTTCTAAGTTGATTTCACATACCCTCGTTCTAGATTCTTTAAACAAGTTAAATGTATTATTAGGTTTGAATTTATCTGTACTTCAATAGATCTCCCTTGAGCCTTGTCTTCTTTCATGGGAACAGTCACAGCTTCTGTGACCTCTCTATGGAACTCAGAGACTCAAAATACCTCACAGTCTCAGACACCTGTCTTAAAGCTGAAGATTGTGCAGAATTTGAGACATTTTCTTAATTAATGCTAGCAGTAAATCAGTGTTTCTTACAATTAATAGTCCAAATAACAACCTTGCGTTTGAACACAGCATTTTTCATGTCTCAAAGCGTTTCACAGGATTTACTGTAAAGTGCAGTGACTGTGTATTTTGTAGGTGGATGCAATGCTTCAAATAAAAACGTTCTACCAAATTAAGACAAGAATTGGAAGAGCTTTTTCTCCCCATCCCATAAATTATTAATAATAATAATAATCCTTGCATTCGATATAGCACCTATTCATACCTTTTCGAGACGTCTCAAAAATTCTTCAACCTTGAAGTCAAAATGGCTTAAAAAACTTTTGGTTACAAATTTGACAGGAATTTCCATTATTCAATTTCCATCATTTAAATGAGACGTTAAACCGAGGCCCTCGTTTGTGTGTTCGGGTGGTTGTTCAACATCCCGTGGCACTATTCAAAAAGAGAAGGGAGTTTCTCCTGGTGTCCTGACCAACAATCCTCCAAATAAAATTGGTCACTTGTTTCATAGATGTTTATGGGATAACAATAATAATAATAATATGGGTTTATGGGATGCCGTTGTGCTGCTGTGTTTGGCTACAAAATACCCAGTCACTCCATTTCACAGCAATTCCTGTGAAGCTCTTTGAGACGTCCTTCCGATGTGATAAGGTGCTATAATAATAATAATAATAATAATCCTTGCATTTGATATAGTGCTTTTCACGTCGGGAGGACGTCCCAAAGCGCTTCACAGAACACACTGTAAAGTGAATTGACTGTATATTTGTGGGCGAACGCGGCAGCCAATTGCGCACAGCAATGTCCCACAAACAGTCGTAGATTGAAAATGACCAATTTATTATTGTTTTTGTTTTTTTGGAGGGATTATTATTAGGCAATGTGTGCCTAATAAAATGCATGTATTATTATTATTATTATTATTATATTCAGGGTCCTTGGCGAGCAGAGGTGGAGGGCGGGTATGCATTTACTCAGGTTCGGGGGCGGGATGGTTCTGCCTGATCCACATTCCCGGGCGGGAGAGGCGAGCGTGTGAGAGGTGATTGAGTTATCCAGGTTCCGTGGCTCGGCCTCTGCCTTCCCTCCTCCGCTCGGGCTGCGCCGCGCGCGCCTCACTCGGGCTGCGGGGGCCGGTGCCACCTTTTACACAGGGTCCCGGGCGAGTGACCCTGTGGCTGTCAGTCCAGTCTCGTCAGCACCTTGTGTGGCAGTGCGGGCAGGGCGGGCAGGGCAAGGCGGGCAGGGCAGGCAGGGCAAGGCAGGCAGAGCCCGGCTGCTAACAGCTCACCAGCCCAGGGTCTGGGGTTGGGGGAAACAAGTGCAAACAGAAAAGAAGTGCAATCCAACAACAGCAAATAATAATAATAACAACAGGGACAGTGCAGCAATTATATTGGATTAACAAATATATATGATATATAATACATATACACTGTGCTGTATATTTATACATATATTAATATAAAGCTGGAGGCGGGGGGGGGGGGGGGGGGGGGGGGAGCTCCTGTTGAAAGCATCTCCGGCTGCTCTGTGGTTGCGGTGCACAGTGCGACCTGTGCAGAGCCACAGAGACACAGAGACACAGACAGACAGTGCTGCGGCTCAGCTCCAAAGGGACTCCGGGGATCAGCTGGTGAGTGGCACTCACACTGACACACTGCACCTCGCCCCGGGCCCTGGGTATCTCCATCCCCTGCCCTGCCTTCCCCTGCCCCTGCCTTCCCTTCCCCTGCCCTGCCTTGTCTTGCCATCGGCTGCAGTAACAAAGGCTGAGGGGCGGGGAGAGGGGTAAGGGGTGAGAGGAGAGGCGCGAGGGGGAGAGGGGAGGGGGGAGGGGAGAGGGGAGGGGGGTAGAGGGGGGAGAGGGGGTGAGGGTAGAGGGGGTGAGGGTAGAGGGGGTGAGGGGTGAGGGGAGAGGGGGTGAGGGGAGAGGGGGTGAGGGGTGAGGGGGGTGAGGGGGTGAAGGGAGAGGGGGAGGGTAGAGGGGGTGAGGGTGAGGGGAGAGGGGGTGAGGGGAGAGGGGTGAGGGGAGAGGGGGGGAGAGTGGTAGAAGGGGGAGAGGGGGTGAGGGGAGAGGGGGTGAGGGGAGAGGGTGAGGGGAGAGGGGGTGAGGGGAGAGGGGTGAGGGGAGAGGGGGGAGAGTGGTAGAAGGGGGAGAGGGGGTGAGGGGAGAGGGGGGAGAGGGGGTAAGGGGGGAGAGGGGGGAGAGGGGGTGAGGGGGTGAGGGGAGAGGGGGTGAGGGGAGAGGGGGTGAGGGGGGGTGAGGGGAGAGGGGGTGAGGGGGTATATACACCAAACCCCGATCGATAGCATCGTCGCACCTTTGCATTACTGCATTTGTTGAGGTTTTATTGCAATGCCTGTGTGTGTGTGTGTGTGTGTGTGTGTGGTTTACGGATGTGTGTGTGTGTGTGTATGTGTGTGGTTTACAGATGTGTGTGTGTGTGTGTGTGTGTGTTTATATACAGCAGATATCTACATATGACTTTGACCTGTTATTTAATTCTGGCGAAACCAAAGCAATATTAGGATTCAAGGTCAGTGCCTCTTTTGAGTTTTTGTGAACTGAAATCAGATCTACGCTCTTTTGTAATTTCTTTTTGATTTCACTCCTCTCCACCTCTCTCTGTCTGTCTGTCTGTCTCTCTGTCTCTCTGTCTGTCTGTCTGTCTGTCTCTCTGTCTGTCTGTCTCTCTCTCTCCAGGTTGTACCAAGCTATCAGGAAATACAGGACTTAGTTCCAGACTGGACTGAAAAGCATCAGCAGGGAAGTGAAAAGCAGTTTTTTTTCCTCCCCAATCCCCCCCCCCCAAAAAAAAAACAAACACCATGATCAGTGTTTAGTGCATTAACATGATGACCATGTCCCCGACCCATCATCCGCACGGGTTTTTGCTGCTGACGCTGAGTTGGGTGCTGAGAGCCTCTGTGGCTGAGGATGTGAGTGATCGCACCGCTTTCAATGGGACGGAGCAAAAACCAGGAATTGTGCCTTTCGTGACAACGAGACTGGATCACATTATAGTGAGAGAGGGAGCCAGCGCCTCCATCGACTGCAATGTGAGCGGGGAGCCTCTGCCACACATACAGTGGTACAACTCCAATGGACATCTGCTGGATGAAGGAGGTACGTCAGCAACTGACTTGTCGTTTTAATAATAATAATAATAATCTTTGCATTTGATACCGCGCCGAATGGCATTTACGTAGCGCGCTTTACTCAGGGTGGCGTCCCGGAGCGCTTAAAAGGAGAGATCCAGGAGGACGAGGAGGCAGAGGGAGCCCAGGTCACAGAGAGAGGAGGATGTCTTTTGTGACCTTAACAAACCCTGACTCTGCTGCGGGAGGGGCTCAAGAAAGGGGAGGTGTGAGCAAAGCTGGTTAGGGATAACTTGTTCCAGGGCGTTGACGAGAAGGGCAGGTTATACATGGGATCGTAATTTGTAAGGTTTGAGGGGTCAAGGGTGTGTTTTCTTTAGGAGGAATGTTGTTGAGACGTCTCAAAGCGCTTCAGAGAGTATACTGCAAAGTGAATTGACTGTATTTTGTGGGCGAATATATCACATTCCGCTAATGTTTAATGTTCTCCAAATCTGCACTAAAATGAACTGAAAGTCACTTAAAAAGTTTATAGTGAATTATAGTAGATTGTTCTTGCTCTGTGACCCTGAAAAAGGGGAGGGAGGATATAGGTGTGGGGTGGGAGAGCGTGAATGAAACAAAAAAACTAGATGCTGTATTAATATAGGACATCTCAATGACACCAGAGGCAGAGTCAGCTGATGTAAGGAGAGTCTTTCTCTTTTTAAAACTAGAGCATCAAAAGTACGCATCAAATCCAGTCCCTCCTCCAATGCAGCCGAAACTGTTGCTGGAGAGTTATAAATAGAGTATATCATGACCAGCTTCGCTGCACGATAAATATCTCTGGTCTGTCACCAGGCTTACAGTGACGCAGTCTTGAAGCTACCCCAGCTCACCTCACTTGCAAGTCTAGAGCAGTAGGCATCATGTGTATTCACTCTCTACAATCTTACAGTGTGTGACTTTTAGAGGGGGGGGGAGAGGGAGCTGCACACTATGGTTTTGCTCTATAAATGTTTTACTAGCATAATTTATTCAGATTACAACAGCTGGGTCCTTTAAAAAATTCTCTGTGCATATTTAACTACAATTTTCATCATCTGATCTAAAATCTAGTTTCTTCTGAAATCCATATTGCTCCAGTGGATCCTTTCCAGGTATTTTGTCTATGGTTTTTGGAAGGAGTCGGGGGAGGGGGTGGGGGGGCGGGAGAGGGGGGGGGTAAGGGGGGCTGCACACTATGATGTTTCATATAAAGGTCTTATTTGCACTCCATCAGTGTTTTTCTACTTCTGCATCAACTTTCTGGGAGGCTCTGGATGCCTTTTTACAATAACAACTAATTGCATTTATTATAGCGCCTTTCATGTCGGGAGGACGTCCCGAGGTGCTGATTTGTTTAATCATTTGCAGCAAAAGTAATTCAAGTTCCTGTCTCTGATTCGCAGGGAAAGTCACAATCATTTGTAACTCCCAGGTCATGCTTGACTCAATGGATTTTGTTTTAATAATAATCCTTGCATTTGATAAAGCATCTTATCATGTTGTTGAGATATCCCAAAGCCCTTCACAGAATATACTGTGAAGTGAATTGACTGTATATTTTTGGGGCGAAACATCCACAAAGTGTCACATAATGTGCAGGTAATGGGCATGCAGTTGATGCTTACATAGATTTTCAGAAGGCTTTTGATAAAATGCTCCATAAAAGTCTGAATTAGAACATTAAAGCACATGGTTTTGCAGAGAAAGTGGTGTCATGGATAGAGGGTTCTAATAATAAACCTGAAAATGTCTCTAAATAAATCCAATTACACCTCTCAAAGCTAGAAGGCAGAGACAAGGAGCAAATGTATTTTACTCGGATTGACTGGATGTAGTTAGTGGTGTGCCCCAGGCAACTGTGCTGGGACCAATATTGGTTAAGTATTCCAGGCACTACCAGCATGAAGGCATTATATAAATACAAGAAGTTGTTGTTTTCTATTTATATTAATAATTTGGAAATAGGCACAGGAAGAATTTCTAAGGTTAGCAATGATTTTAAATGAGGAGTATGGCAAACTGAGGAAGAACATAGAAAAATGGGGGCTGACTTGACTATTTGGGCAAATACGTGGCAGATGAAGTTTAATGTTGTAGAATATGAAATAGTAATTTTTGGGGAACAAAAAGAAAAGAAGTTTATCTTAAATGGCAATGTTCTTATGATTTTGAGGAATGGAAGGATCCAGGTACAGACCTAGGGTGTGTAAAAGAAAAGAAACTTTCTTTATACAAGATATTGTTTAGGCTACAGTTGAGTACTGTGTGCAGTTCTGGGTTCTACACAATATCAAGGACTTCAGAAAGGATACAGCGATTATTCAAACAACCTTGGCTTGCAGTTAGCATCGGTGGAGAAGCTGGCACCAGAATAAACTTGCTGGACTGAATAGCCTATTTCTGTGTTGCATTCTATTCTCTGATTCACTGGCACTTTAAGTAAATGAAAAACTTTGAACGTAGCAATATGTGTGAGTCTGTGTGTATGTGTGTGCGCGCTTGTGTGAGTGTGGGGGGGGTGGGTAGGAACTAAGTAATTATACCCGGGGTGGAGATAGAATAAGTGAAGAGAGAGTGTATTCTATTACTGGAAGCTAGTGTCAAGTCTGTGTGACAATGTTGATAACATTTACATTTGTGCAGACCTAAGAATGCCAATAGGTTGTAGGAGTTAAAATTAGAATTTGCTCTATGATAAGCTGTTGGAACATAGTGTCCCACAGACATAAAAGGCATTAAAGCATTCCTCATTTAGCATCCAAGATCAATGTAATTTTGCTCTGTACTTGTGGAGGTGTATTCTGAACTTAATGTCTTGCTATTGATTGTACAATACATAAGTGAGGGACACTGTCAAAGGATCAGAATTGCATTGGCGACATATTGATCTGTGATTTTCTTTGAAAATGGCTTTAAAAATACAGCACATTCCATAGAATGCAGCTGATATTTAGAAGGATATGGAAGTTTTGTTTCCCAGAAAAAAAGGAGCTCACAGACTATTCAATAAAGATAGTGTTTATAATAATAATCTTTACATTTGATATAGCACCTTAGCACATTCTGTCTCAAAATGTTTCACAGCATCCACAGCAAAGTGTAGTGAGTGTGCATTTGCAAGCAAACATAGTTGTCAATTTGTACATGGCAGCATCCCATAAAGTAAATGGCCAATTTATCTGGGATACTGTTGGCCAGGACACCAGGAGAAACTCCCCTTTTTGAGTAGTGCCACAAGATCCTGAACAGGCAGACGGAACCTCGGTTGAACGGCTCATCCGAAGAATAGAACCGCTTACAATGTAGTGCTCCCCTGGTACTGCCCAGAGGTGGCCAGGATTGTCACTGTGGCAGCCCGAGGGCCACATCCGGCCCACAAACCATTTCCAACTTCATTGTCCGACAAGCAACTCGCAGGCTCCGAATCAATCAGGAGATGATCACCGGGGACTCTGTCTCTGTCTCGACAACAGGACAGGAGAAACAGGATAAAATGTTGCTCATGAGGCCCACAATCATTTCTCAAATCCGGCATTCGGCCCTCAGCAGCCAAAAGGTTAGACCACCCTGGTCTAGGCCATAAGCTCAAAAATCTGGTGTGGAACTTGAACCCAAAGCATTTTTTACTTGTCGTGCTACAGTCAGGCTGACACTTAAGGTGAATTGCAGAGTTTGTTGATATTAAAACAAAACAGAAAATGCCGGAAATCTGAAATAAAAACATGAATGAAGGGTGTCACCCAAAACATTAACCTGTTTTTCCTTTCAAAAGTTGATTGACCTGCTGTGAATTTCCTGCATTTATGTGTTTATTTTAACTGGTTGATGTAGTACAGTATACTAGAAATACCGTGAACCAGGAAACAGCCTGTGTTCTTAGCATTTCCTGTTGTTTTATAACTGAAGCTAATCTGTTGGCATTTTCAGGGAATCATGGGTGGTTTAAAATACTTGCAGACCAAATTTGTTTGGGTTAATTACAATTACGTTAATTTACCACTTTTGTGATTGACGATTTTGAGATTAAAAAAAACACTGTTTTTTGAATCCTGAATGTCGGATAAGGCTTCGCTTTCTGGCCTTTTCCTGCAGCAAGATTTACCTTTTTGACTACATTGTTGGTCGTCTTTCTCGCCCCCCCCTTCTCCTCTATCCTTTCAGCTCCCTGTCCCCTAGCTCATGTGTCAAGACAGTTGAATAAAGCATTTTGAGATATCCTCCCAACATGCTATATAAATGTAAATTGTATTGAATAGGAATTTTTATCCAAGGCTGTGATGGTGACATCTACTTTAATTTTGAATTTAAAAATTGTGAATGGCAAACCAGAAGTTCCAATTAATGCAGCAAATCCAAATATTGCCTTTTGGACCCCATTATCTTTTGAGATTTAAAATTTGGTGGAACAAGGATTATTGAAAGTCAGGCATCTTTGTACCACAGCCCACTTTGTTGTTCATTCAATTGGTGCCTAAATCACAAGAGATCACACAAAGTCGAAGAGAGGTTTGAATGAAGAAGACTCTTCAGCCCATTTGATCTTATCCTTTCAGATGACCCACCCTACCATCCATCGATTACAGAATGGAGTTGCTTTTTAAATGAGTCAGGCATTTTGGCTTTAACCACTCTTCCTGGTAACCTTTTTCTAAATAATTATTGACTTACCCTCCGTGTACTCTTTACCCTTTTGAAACCCTTACGCTGTGCCCACTTGTTTTGCTGCCTTGGTGTATTTGAAAATATTCCTATGGATTTACTCTCTCAATCCCATTTGGAATCTTGTGTGCCCAAATGAAAACTCAAACACAAAAGAAATCATGTCGTTGAGAAATTTCAAAGCACGTCACAAAATGTACTGTAAAGTGAACTGACTGTATACTTGGTGGGCGAAACATGGCAGTCAATTACACACTGCAGTGGTCCCTCAAACAGTCATGGATTGAGTGAGCAAATTATTATTATTAATTTTTTTTTGAAAGGACTATTCCCCTGGAA